GCTTAGAGCAAAGTAATGTCTTTCTTTAACGTAGCTGAATGAGACAAATCACCTTTCCCCTAAGAAGAGATTATTATTCTTTCCAAGCTTCAATCTGCACCGAGACAGGCGTGCCCTATGAACTTTGCCTATTCTAACCGCCAATTGTTTGAAAAAATGGTATTTTTGTCAAAAGTAGCGGAAATTAAACGATTTACGAGACGAATTTAATGTACAGTAAATATTGCGTTAAAAGATAAGGAATTAGACACTCCACTAAAACTGGCTGTAGAACGAAGTGCTTTACAGTTGAGAATGAAATTCTATGTAGCTGAATTAAAAATTAAAAGCAGTTTTCGATACTCGTGTGTCTTGCACTTCTTTCCCCTTCAGCTTTTCAACACAAACATACAGTATTTCCTGTATCATACAACCCTAGATTGAGTAGGTCTTAGATAAGTGGTTTTAATGTAGATAAGACTCCGCCGTTTGCCTTATTCGGAGAAATTACGCATACAAATACGGGTTAACAAATACGGTATCTAGCTATAATGTAAATTGCATCCGTTAAGAGCCTCTAAAGCGGACTTTTCGAGCGTTCGCCGAATTGTCGGAGCGCGCTAACGAAGAGCTAGCCAGCTTTAGAAACCATTTACGGTGGCCACTTTACATCATCGACTCAGGTGATGAGGCCAAATTTTATTGTAATACCCCCCACGGAAGCAGCACTACAGTTTCTTCATAGATTTGCATCTTTTAATACGTAGCTTAAGAGGAAGTTTAAAGGAAATGCAAGAGAAAGCACTTGTTCTACTGTATTTATTTAGGGAGTGCAAAAGGTGACATTTTGAGAGAAGGTAGGAGGGTAGAGTCCGCAATCAAGCCTAGTGACCCTTACTACCGCAGTTCATCACACACACGCACACCACACACAGCCTTTTGTCAGGCTTTCCTGAAAGGTCACCGTTCGCTATCCATACTCCTGGAAAGAGAGAGTCACCGTGAGAGTTGGATGTCTTGCTGAAGAATATAGGTAAATGCCCCGCCCAGGTTTTAGCTTGTACGTGTTAAACAAGTTTTACATGACATCAAAGTACGTGATAGTGAAAGAGAACTAAATATTATTTTAAATGTAAGTTCAATCGTAGAGCCTGCGTAAATTGTTGCATCAGCGGCAAGTGAAAGATGCCATCTTGTTTTTCACGGTATCGCCTGAGGAGAGAAGTAAAGAAATCACGACTCAAACTGGAAATCTCAGTCAGTCTCCGTGTGGACTGTGTAGCCCGCGATTGGCGAGAGCGTGACTGACGCGGACGGAAGCAGTGCAAATCACCATTCGTCAAAGACCGACAGACTGACCCATTAATGTGGAGCTCCCCTGGTGTGCAATCTCAAGGGTGTATTTTGATCCATTTAATGGATCTTCCATTCCTAGCGTAATGATGGTAAGAAGACTAAATATAATGATATCCTTCCGTAATAAATATATAGATAAGTAAATAACCAGATAAATAAAGCCATAATTTAAACTTTTTGACCGAATCTCGTTTACTGTAAACTATCTAAAACATTATGTACACACTTACATGAACAGAAAAGTTTTCGGTTCCCTATAAGTTGAAAATCCTCTAAAGCGTTTCAGGAGTTTCAGTTTAAAAATAAGTATTGGAAATAAGTACTGGCGTCAGATAAATTAAGCTCGCAAATTTGAGCATAAGCTCATGAGTATCACTCCTGAAACCATAGCATTAAGCCGAAAATTACGCTCAAAAGTTTTCATTTTCTCAGCTCAACAATTCCGCAACCTCTCCTTCCCAATCCCCGCCACCAACAGGTAATACGTACTAAGGATAAAAGACTTAACGAAGTTCAGAACAACATTTCACTGAATCAAATTCCTTAAGTCTGGGGCAAGAAAAACAGGCTCACTGTTGACAGTGCTCAGGCAACAAAATGTATTTCTTGTTAAAATCTAACATTAACTGATTTTTTTTAAAAAGCTTGGTCATTATGCCTGGATCATACCAGATGCTCTGACTAGAGCATTATCCCCAAAATTATGCCGGCATAATTGATCTGAGACACTGATTCACTCTTTTGACTCTCGAGTAGAGACATATTCAATATTTCTTACAATGAGTACCCAAACTGGAGAGCTCAGTTAAATTCCAATGTAGCGCTAACTCGTTACAGTATGCTACGAAGTATGGACTGAATCAAGCAAGGAATTTGACTATTACTCTCGGGAAAACCGTGACAGTTTTACAGTAACTAGGTCAACTTAAGAGTGACTGCGTAGAAAGCTTACACCGCTCGTCATAATTTTACAGTAACTTTGTCAACTGAGTCATTACAAAGAAAACTTATATCACATATCAACAAACAATCGAGGTATCTTTATAAAGATTTATCTCAAAACTGCCAAACAGTTTTTCAAATGAAATGAAAACGAACAAAAAATTTCACCTTTGTCTCAAGCAAAGAACCAAGATGCTGCTGAGTACTGTGTCAACCAATCAACCAATCAGAGCTTCAATCTTAATCTTTAATAAAATCCTTAACAGCATGTGTCAACATTACAGTGCGTGCAAGTCAAAGCTTAGGAAAATTAAAGAAAGATGATTCATAGTTATGGTATTTCCGGAAGACATCATCAAAACTTGAGGTCAAACCTTCAATTCTCCCAATCTTCTCCTGTGAAAAGCGTTAATACACTCGCATGATAAAATTATACAAAGACCCGTGAACAAAGTTTTATAAATCCATAAATTTCTTTGAAAAATTCGCGTTTCTCGTAATCTTTTGCTTATTTTCTGTATCTTAATCATAAAATAAAACAAGACCCTCCGGGCAAATTGCTCAAAGTACTTAATCTCTACAGTTCTTCCCACGCCATCGGAAAGCCATTTGAGTGTGAAAGCGAAAGGACACAGAGAGAGGTAAACACAGAATTTTCATACTAAAAATCAGACAATATATGCAAAGCCAAATATATGTCATTGATGGCAGATACTTTTCCTCAAATTCAATTCCATAATGACAGTGTCTATGTAATCGGAGCTCTTTGTTAGTACTAGAGATTTCAAGCACAAGAAACCTGAGCATTTTTCGTCAAGGATCATTTGATCTCAATTTAGCTATCTCGTGTACTTTTGGTTATATAACATTTGCTCCAGACTTTAAGGCTACCGACTTCCGAGTGGCTTGGGTCAAGCAGAACTGCAAAACATGTCCGAAATACTCCTGGGATTTCTTGAGTTACAAGAATTCACTTTGGACAGATCTCTGTAGTGAAGTTGATTAAATTTACTTTTGTCGACATAATTTGATAGAATTTATCAACGGTATGTTTGTCTGACAATTCTTTGCAGTGTGGCAGGTTTCACTTTCACACATTATTACTAACTCTGATTTTATTCTTCTATCCAGTCACGAAATTAATCTATACAAACAAACGCGTGGAGGAAATGTTTAATTTTGAAGATTAATTAATGCTGACTGTATTGCAATCACTACTTTGAAGACCTTTAAATTTAAAACTTGACAGCATACAAGTAGACTCTTCGAGACATCCACACAAAAGCGGAAGTTAGAAATAATCTTTCGTGGCAAACTCAAAACAGCTGATATTACGGTAGAACAAAGTCGCTATTCCACATACACCGATGTTGAAGACGATCTTGAAATTTTTGGCATAGGCCTTGTTTCACAATATTTAATCAATGTTTACTTTTGGAAACTGTTATGTGTCTACAAGTAGGCATTTCGCCCTCTCAAGAGCAAACTCAAACAATGTAACATACATAAACTTCCTGCGAAGGATGTATTTTACTCTAAACACACTGAAAGCATGTTCTGCTCGCCTGAATGCCTCAACCGATCAAGCGAGGCGATTCAAGGGTGCGAATAACCCGTCAATATCGTTTAATCGTCTCCAGAAATATCGCTTTTCAGATTTTCCGCACGTATTGTTTTGGCATTCGATTGACCGACAAGATAATTATAGATGCAAGAGTTGGTCGCTTCGCTAAGAAAGGCATTTGCTTGGTTCACTGGTGATAAAAACAAAAGATAATTTGTTATCTTTCATATAAATTTTAATTTCAGAGATAGTATGAGAAAGAACAATGAGTACTATTTCATTTGCATCTCCCGAACATGCTGAATGAATGTGACAAATACGGCCACAAGCTAAATATTGCTGTTAAAACAAACGCTTCACTGCCTACAGGTATGTTTTCAGCGAAATAACTCGAAACCGAAACTCACCAACACTCATTGAATATTTTCACCAACTCTCTGATTTTCTTCGACGTTGAAATCAAAGATTTTCATCAGATCGGTTTATTTTAACGATTTTGACATATTTGTTTTCATTCTAGACTTTGCTATTTTTATTCCGCCGCAGAAAGTCGTAAACAACACTAAATTGAAAAGTCACGCACTCCCATGGAAACACAACGCGTTATTCTGGACCAATTTCAAAAGAAAACATGACGTTTAATTCCTTTTCACGCAATATCCTGATTCCGCTTATTTAAGAGCGTGTACCTATGCATTTTCAGCACGTACGCAACAAAACATTGAAGATCAGTTCACCTTCAGAGAAGTGACATCATAAACACGATAACGTTTGTCATACAACCACAGTTCGCCTCATACGCTCCAAACGAGTCGAAGAACTAGGGTAAAACATTTGGTATTAGGTTGCATTAAAAAAGAAGGTTTCGAGCCAAAAGACTTGAGGATCTAGCGACGAATTTTACAGAGAAAATTGTAAGGACTTTTTCAATACGATTGTTTGTTCGTTACAGCTGATTTTTATATCATGGCCGAAAATAGTCGCAACCTTATAAGGCTTCTGTTAAAATAATGACGGTCATTGGTCAGATAGGATCTTTTGTTTTGACTAATTGCGAGTGCTGACAAAGACAGTGTTTTGATTGGTGGATTTGAGAATATCTGCCAATCATAACGCACATGGCGAATTGATAATTTTACACTCGGCACTTGCAAAGCACCCTTGGGTACCCTGCTTTATTTTTTGCGATTGATTTGAGCGTCGGCGAGTGTGTATGACAGAAGCAATAGTGTGTTGTGTGTTGTGTTATTCTGACATTCCTTCGTCTCACTCACCCGTAGCATCGCTTCACTGACGCTCAGCTACTCACTTCTACGCTACTCTCCTGCGACATGGATCTGCAATCTGCTCTTCCGTGCTCCTCGATTTTCCACGAACTACAAACTGTTCATGACACAGGCTTTTTCTACTCGCTTCCATCGCTTGAAGACGATTGGGCACAGGTACGTGTACGTGAATTTTTCTAATGGTTTTGTCCTTGTAGCTTAGCAAGCGTAACATGTGGCCTTTAACGATGGCTTTGGACACTTAGGAAGCATGCAGCCTCTTGCGCTTCGCGCGAATTCGTCCGTGCTTTGTAAATCAGCCATGTTGACCTCATTCTGTATTCCTTGTGTATTTCGTTTTCGCGCTCGTTTTCATCGCTGCATAGTATAGTATTTTTCTTAATTTTTCTTTCCAGACAAGACTAGAAATGGATCGTTATCTTTGCCCTGAACCATCATCTTTGGATAGTAAAGACTCCAACTTAGGGAATCCAGCTCCCTGGAACGAATTTTTACTTCAACCTTTTGACGAGTCAAATTTTCCATTTGGCGACGACTGGGATATCAAACCGATAGATTTCACTTCAATAGCTACCTTTCCCTCAGTGCCAACAGTTCTTCCAGAAACTCCAACGGAAACTAAACCAGCTATGGAGCTCCCAGTAAAACCTCTAAAGATCAAATTACCGACCCCGACGGGCTGCGAAGAGATTAGCAAAATTCCTAAGCCTGTTTTACCGCTAACTCCACCGAGCTCACCTGAGTCGCCTGTCGTTGTGTTTAATAGCCCGAACCAGCAGAGAACAGGCAGGCCAAGTGCGCGCTCCCCTCGCGCGAGGGGAGGAAATGGAGGTGCTAGAGCAAACAGCCCCAAGGACAAAGACTCAGAGAGCAAACGGCGAGTGCATCGATGTCAATTTAGTGGTTGTCGTAAAGTTTACACGAAGAGCTCGCATCTGAAAGCTCATCAACGTACTCATACGGGAGAAAAGCCGTACCGTTGTTCTTGGGATGGATGCAACTGGCGTTTCGCTCGCTCGGATGAGCTTACTCGCCATTACAGAAAACATACTGGAGCCAAACCGTTCAAATGTGTTCATTGTGATAGGTGCTTTTCACGATCAGACCATCTAGCTCTACACATGAAGAGACACGCATAGGAAAGATAGGTAGAAAATTATTCTAGGAAAAATGAATTTTGCAATTTAGAATTCATCGCGCTCGGGTCTTCATTCAAACGAATTTGAATTGCCATCAATAATTCAAGAGCAAAACCCCAGGTGTGCGAAGTAGGTACCGCAAGTTGGTACGAGATATTCACGGAAACATGTGAATTCTTTACAAGTCTTACGCAAAGAAGCGATAGTAAAGCGAGTTGGGATAAATGTGACAGTGAAAGTTATCCAGAGGAGTAGTATTATGGAATAAGTTTACTCATTTGGGCGCCAAAAGAAGCTGATAGAACATGTATTAGCATAAAATCCTGCGGAAATGAAGCAGTGAATAGAGGCAACTCCGATGGGAATATTATTCAATTCAGGGACAGACCATGTATTATTCTCAAAATGAAATTCAACACAGGAACTTCACAAAATACGTCGCTTCAAGAGAAAATAAAAACACTAGAAAATATTCGTTCGCGCAAAATAAGAATAAGCCTCGGGGTATGTAATACCGATGTAAACAAAATTAGTCATTCGTTCATGTTGTACTATGCAGGCTTAATTCAAGTTAAAAACATCAAAAGAAAAGGAAAAAACTAATAAGAACTTAAACGGACTAAGTCTATGATGTAAATATATAATTTTGGCATCTCTGTATCACGAAGACAGAAGAAATTAGTGTACAGATATATTAAAATTGAAAGGAAACGTTCTTGATTTTGTCAAGTGTGTTTTCAGAGCTAGTGGCGAGACCAATTTCATTTTTATTGTTACAAGTCGAGCCAGATGTTTTTACGTCTAAAATCATTCTCTTATACATTGTTTATTGAAAGAAAAGCGCTTTCTCTTTCCTGACGGCGTAGATAAGCTTGGATATGTGTTGCAGTGTAATCTTTGTTTATGTGACATTTCGTTGTCGTATTGGCTTTAGCTGCTTTGGCGTATCACTACATTTAAATGCGAAAAGTAATCCGGCTTTTACAATATCAGACCTTGCTGTCTTGTTCTGGCAACGAATTTAATTTAGAGCTAGTACATTTTAATAATAGCAGAGCATTAATTGCTGGCTTAAAGGGTTTCACACTTTTCTGACAGCAGAAAGTGTTTATCAAATTTACATACTTATTTACTTTGACCGATAGTGTGGAAACTTGCCTTCTGAGCCGACGAGACTTCGACGAGAAATTGGCCTTGTGGTGTCGTCAAAAGAGTTCGCTTGGACAAAGGGGTTCGATTTATTTATCAATTCTATGAAACCACAAACGTAGTTCGATTATTTTCCCTGAAAAGAAAAGGTTAAAAAAAAAAACGCCTGCTACTTAGATCAAATTGGAAATGATATCAATTTTGTCGATAATTTTTTTGGCAATGACTATTTTTTGGAACTGAGCACGTTTTTCGCGCCGCGTCCTTTCTGTCCATCGAACGAGACAAAGTAACTAATTTAAAATGTGGGCAGCTGGACGTAATCATTAAACTTTAAAGATTAAAGTAATGTCTTTTTACGATTCTTACTCGCGACTGCGCCATGTCAGTCATGTGTATTTTCAACAACAATAACTTGTGAGGAGACATTTAATTTTTCTTCATCCTTAGGAAGTTATCCCTTTTATTTCTCAGAAAACCCTGTTCTCTTTTATGATAACTGTGCAAAGTGAAGGAAAACCCTCAGTGTGTGATATTTTAAACGAGTACCCAACTTAATTTTGCTGTAGGAAATCGTTTTTTGGCGAATGCTAATGAGTTTCTTGCGCTGATTTCATCGGTGCCTAAAGAGAATTTGACAGAGCTTTAAAGTTGTCATAAGCCTTTTTCGCTTTTCCGTGCAATTAGGAAAGGCAAATGTTATTATTAGGCTGTAAGAAATTCCTTCCTTCCCTGACAGTGTTCATTATGCGTAGGTTGTTTAGAATTTCCTCGAAATTGCTTCCAAACAAAAGCTTGCACTTTACGGTGAATGAAAATTTGGTGTTCGTACTTTTATGCAAGGGTCATTTGTGTCATTTTCTAGGATGATTCTGCTAGCTATTGGCAGCGCGACAACAAGAATATTTATTCTTTAAATGTTCTCACCTTAGAATTCTTCCAACATTTTATTAAAATCATTTTAGGAAAACAAAAAATTGTTGGGACCATTAGCATTCTGTGCTGTATGTAATTGATTGAAATTCTCTTTCATTTCTTGGGTGGAACGGATGTAATGTATTCACCCAAATATATTGGTTGAAGACTGTATGCTCACAAGCAGAAATATTTTGTATGGATTAATCGTTTCAAAATGAGTGTTTCCCTAGGGACTGTGGATTCCCACACATAGAGGGCAAATTATTGTCACCAAATTGCCTCCAACCTGCGCAAGAAGAGGGGGCAAAGATAACTTACTCAGCTAATGCTACTACACAACCTATCACTCTGCTGGAAATAGACTTAGCAAGGCCTCTGGAAAGTGTCATCAGCATAGTATTCTTGATGCAAAGGTTTACATGTTGCGATCAGATTATTAACATTTCCCACGACCTTTAAATGCTGTCATGGTATACCAATTCTTTTGTCTCTAATTACCTAATGGAATTCAATTTACAGGCTTTGGCATCCCTCTGAGTTTGCCATTTGTTTGATCAACTTGCAAGAGTCTGTCTGCAAGTTCAATCTCTCCAGGAAATGGTGAAAATCATCATTATAACCACTAAGAAAGGCCCCACTGATATGTTGATGACCTGCATTCTGCAGATGCAAGTGAGCTAATGAACGATGGAAGTAGTTAATTAAAGTCGGTCAGGAAACTTAAAAATAATGAATTGGATTTTATTTCTGCAAGGGCTTAGATGTGTAAACATGCTGCTCTTGAGTAACTTGACCCAAAGCAAGTTATTAATAGGTTTTTATCTGTAGTAGTTTGTTTGGTAGGGTAAATTTATGCTGATACTGCTCAGATGCATGGCCAAAATATTCTAAAACCTAGGTAATTCTTGTTATTGTAATTCAAACATACACAAGTTACTGAATAAGAGAAGCTATCAAAAAAGCCAGAAAACCCAGACATGTTTACATTTCATTTAAACTATCCATGTAAAATAAATTTAAAGATCAAGCATTCAATCAATCAGTAGAGAACAGGATTGGCTCTGCTAAACCACAAAGTTCATCTTTGTGGAAATTTATTGAATGAGATACCTTTGAATGTTTTCTTTGAAGTGAAAAAAAGATAAATGTATTGTTTAACCATGGGCATGTTTTGAGGTATATTGACTGAAGTTGATTGGCTATCTGATGGTCAAATATTGACATCCTGTGAATGAGCTGAATCCCAACTTGTGTTACATTAGTGTAGGCATCATCATGCCACAATTTGTAAACTTTCATTTCCTGTGCATCCATAATTAGGTCTGTGTTTCAAACAAACTTGTCTGAAAACCATTACAGTCAATTGTACATTTCAAAAGCATGGAGCATAAACTTTGATGGAAAAAGCTTTTATCAAAATACACCATCTTAACACCTATTAGTTTAATTATCTATGAGTTACCTGGTCTGAATACATTATTTTCAAACTGCATTGTTATTTCCAAAATTATAATACAGTAAAAAAAAAAAAAAATTCAATCTTACTTTAATATGTATGGGTAAACTTAATCCAGAAGCAAACATGGAGGCATTATGCAAACACAAAATGAACTATTAAAAATACAGAAATTGATTATGCATAGACAAAAAAGTTTAGAGGCTTACTTTTTACAATTCTGTCTGGATTTGGCAAATAGACATTTTAAACGTTTGAAATTGAATTCAAATTGTTGAGTGACAAGTTTGCTTTCTATATACCTCAGAAAAACTAATATTTCACTACGTTTTCCTTCTTGTCTTGGTCAAGATTTTAATGGTGTACAAGTTTATAACTTACAATGACTGTAAATTTAAAATAACTGGAGAGTAGAATTAAAGCTGCTTCCATTCAAGGGTAAGGAAAAACAACTCTATGACTGAGTAGCTATCAACATATAATTCTCAAAGTGTTCTGTTATGAAAGAATTCTTGGATACCCAGGGCAAGAAATTAAAATCTGTCCCAAGAAGTTGGGTTTCATTCAAGATTATTTAACTAGCTTTCACTCCTACAAGTGATTGACACATTAACTCTCCTCACACTACATTATCTTGCAAACAGGTGATGAGAGTTTACAAATACCCTTACCCCTCATGACCTGAAAATATTGGCTTTTGAGTATTCATTCATTAACTCTTTCCCTTCCAAGATCTCATTAAAAATCCTCATTACTGTCTGCTCTAAAAGTCCTATGATGTTACTTTGGAGAATTTGGTATTGGATCAACCAATAATCCTCTAATTTATATTTTTCTTTATTCACATCACTTGGCTACTTGATATTTTTAGAGTATTAATACTTTAAGGAAAAAAATATGTCTTGGTTATCCTTAGGAGTGAAAGGGTTCAACCCTTTACACCCTAACATCAGTATGCATATTCTCCATGCTTTTTTCTAAACATTTCCTGAAGTGCTAACAAGAAGAGAACTTTTGGCCTGAATACAGTCATGCACTACCATTTCTTATATTAAAGAAAAAAAAACAAACAACCATGAGCATATGAACACTTTGACGAACTCAATTTCACTTTCTTCAGAACTCGATCAACAGAAGCCTTTACTTGACTGCATCCCAGTCATATTAAAAATATTTTTGAATGGATAATTACATCAGAGCAGCTGTTTTGGTAAAGTGCTCTTTTGTCCACTGGACAATTAACTTATTTGTTGCAATGAAATTTAAGTGGTAAATTCTTGGTGCAGCTATTGCTGTGTTAAAATAGACTGCTGTAAGTATCTGATGTTAAGAATTAAAAAAAAATGCAAACATGATGGAATGCTAAATGAAGGTCAAAGCTTGTTCCTTTAAGAACAAAAACATTTCGTGTCATCTTTTCATCAAAAGGTTTAACTTTGCATTTAATCAGAAAGAGAGATACAAATCAAATGAGGTACATGTGTTATCGCTCAAAAATGCAACTAGAGCTAAGTAGAGTTTACTATCGCAAAGATCGCTTTTATATTCTTTCTATTAACCTGCAGTTCACATATACGATTTTCATTTATTCCCAATAAAAACTGCAATTAATTTTTTCTAAGTCGTAAACCAAGCCCTATTCAGTAAATCAGTTTGTGGAGCACCAGAATTGAATAACAAAACCTATTTTGGATGTCAGAAAAATTAAGATTAACATTCATCTGTAGTGGTTAATTTGACATTTATTCCTTTACATTCTTCCTGGCTGCTAACCCTTTAATGTTGGTACAATGTCAAGCATAGAAAACTAATACACTTTGAGTAAAGTTGTTTTGAATCAGATAAAATTTATCAACACAACCCAAAAACAAAATATATGCCAACCAGTTATGAGAATTTAACATTTAATTGTGTTTACAGTGCTATGCGTCAATGACAGCTTTTGAATTTAAAACTAACCAAATTATATGCAACACAAAAACACCCTCATCAATACCCTAAAGAAAGCAAATAGGCCAACAGATATTTAGTAAAAAGTTCATACTTTTTGGCAACTAAAGCCTTCTGTGTAAGCCACAGTTTTGTTGCCATTAATTCTAGAACTCTTGTGGCATTTTTTTTTTTAATGTGTCTCAGGTAATATATACTGCTAATTGTTGTCCACAAGCCTGGTGTGACATGACATCATGCTTAAACT